GAAAGAGTGAATCTTCACAAAGATCAGTTTGATAGTAACTGCAAGTAAGTCCTTGCATTGACACGGTGCCACAAATAAGCATTATACAACCATTAAAAGCTATAGTCTGATTAATTTAAAATGTAGGAGACCAGTTTAAACACCTTTCACCTACAAACTTGTGGTGCTGAAGAAAATGGGTAATGCTTTTCCTGTCACCTAAGAAATTTCAATACAAAACTAGCAGCCTTCATGATTTCCTCAGACGCTAAGCGTAACGGAGACAGAGAATTGAGCTTTTCTGTTCAATATACATTCACAAATCTCAAAGTATTAAGTTCTTTTCTTGAAACAAGAAGAAAAACCACTAATCTTAGTTTGGAGCCAAACTCCTGCTCATCAGTGAAGAGCAGATGCAGGCATTAATAACAAGGAACAGCAGCTTTTTTTTTTGTGAAGAAAGTTGTTTTCTTGATGTGTAATTTAGATAATGAAAAAAAGCATGCTTCATTCCACACTTAAAAATAAAGCTTCTAATTTTGCCCTGTGAAATATAGACTAATTTATAGGCAAAAAAACTTGCATTTTTTTCCCCTACAGACACAAATATGCAATACAGGGGGAACAAGCTCTAGAAACTTGTATATATAAAAATATTTCTTCCCCCTTCAAGTCACAGTTTACTTCACTGGGAAAATAGCGTCAATGGAGAATTAATCAGCAAGCTGGAATACATTTTTAATTCAGTTCCCTTTCCCCTACCTCCTTGAGTTGATGGCACATTGACGGCAACAATCTTGCTGTTTGCAGGGAGTGGCAGCTTAGTTATCACTTTCCCTGCCATCGTTACTGGACTGCCTGAGATCTGGAAGGTCTGCCCTGTGCTGGCAATGGTTGTGGCTGAAGTGGCAGCTGTGCTAGTGGCTATTGAGGTACACAGAACAGTCAGTTTTAGAGCAGAGTAATTAGTCAATGAAATGACTATTTTCAAGTATGAAACAGCAAACTACAGGATTATTTTTTACAACAATTTTTGAATGCGTCATACTTCCTTTGGTAAAGATTCTTTTTTGGAAACAGCATGTTACAGCATAAAATGCTTTCATTATCAATGATTACTAGTACAGTAACTGTCAGTAATAAATGAGACAGGTCAGAAATAAGACTCCATAGCAAGTCTGAACAAAGAAAAAATAGGTATTATCTCAGAAGTGTCCTGCTGACTTAGCAAGAGTGTTAAGAGCAAAGATAACAAGAAATGTAATAATGCTATATATTCTGGAGAAGATGTAGGCATTGCGCTGGAGTTCATCTTATTTACATGTTCTTTCCATGATAAATGGCTACTTACCTGTTGAAGATTGGCCTTGTTTAACCCAAGTAGCAAAAGTCTGATGGAAATTCTTGTTCTGTTGGAATGTTACGGTAGCTGGAGAACCCACTTTTGTAGTAAGTACTACTTTGGTTCCAGTGGGGACTGGGCCCGCTAAAGGCCCTACCACAACTTTCTGTGGCGTTGAGACAGTAGTTGCAGTGCTGCTGGCTGTAGTGACTGCGGGGGCCACACCTGCTGTAGGTATCTGCTTCTGCTGTCCCAGCCGTTTCTACAGGATTTAGGAAAAAAATTAAACAAAGGGATAATTAGCATTTTCAGATTTTGTAAAAAATAAAATAAAATAAAAATTGCTGTCTTCCCAGTATTGAAAAATAAAGGATTCTGGTTGGATTTTCGTTCAAGTTGTAAAGGATTGAAGAGTAGGCTGCTTGCATACCCTATAGCACAAGACTCCTTCACCTACAGAACTACAACTCTGCTGATACTACAGACCCAGAAATTTTCCTTTCTAGCATCTTTAAAATCCTCAGCTTATGTTAATTTCACTGCACATTACTTTAAAGAAAGCTCATTAATTAGTCTCAGATTAATTTGAAAGGTTAAAAAACTTTGAAAGATATCCATCTATATTTAGCTTTGACCATGTGCATACAGCTTGCATCTATGTCAGTAAGCAGTACACCATCAGTAACCGAGTTACTAGTTACTATCCTTCCTAAGTTTAGAGCTGCCTGCACTGAGATCCTGCCAGTTACAGGAAAAAAGAAAAAAAAAAAAGACTGTATCATTCTGCTTTATCGTTAAGAATGCAATTTTAAAAAATATTTTTTTAACTGTAAATCCAGTTTGCAGCTTGTTTAAAAAAATTAGGTTCAAAATCTCTTACCTTACCCAGCAACCTTCTGTGCTCTAACTGTCAAGAAGGTACATTTAATTTACAGATTCGCTTTGTGAAGGGATAGTATCAGTAAGCTCTTTTAAAATTCCAATGAATCTAACATTCTTCCCTATGCTACTGGAATTATCTTTGTATCTATTAATTTAAATTTTAGTGTTTGGTTAGCATTATATCGCAGTAATGCCCACGAATCAGAAACACTCATTCACTAGTAATGTATTTTCTTCAGGGAAGATGAAACAAAAAAGAAGTTGGAAAAAGCACAATTCTTAATAATGTATGTGAAATACCAACATGGCATTGGGTTTCCCCATGTTAATTGCATGCATTTATGTATACATACAAACTTCCATCTATACATACATACATATCTATATATTAAAAAACCATCATCAATGGGCTTCATTCAGTCAACTTAAGATTGGATAAAATCAAAAGATTCAATGTGACTGAAGCATGAAGAACCAACATAATTGTATTCCCAAGTCAGCTTTCCATTACATCACAGAACACTGTTGACCTTACCTGGAGACGGGTGCTTCTCAGCCTTCTTTTAAAATAGAAACAAACTAAACTGTTTTAAAGTGTTATAAATTGGGGGTGGGGGGGGGGGAAGGAAAAAAAGAAAAGAAATCCAAACCAAATCTTTGCCTTAACCCCGTTTCAAAATAACGAACATACACGCATTGCTTGATGGCTTAGTTTGCACAGGAAAGGTGGAAACTATTTGAAATAAGGGCGTAAGATAGGGATAAACTTTGTTTCCCTTATTTTACTGCATGTGGACTACCAGTGCATAGTTGCTGACAGGTGGGACTACCAATAGCTCCCCCACCTGCTGGGCAGCCAATCGTTGGTGTTTTAGTTGAGCCTCCAATTGGGCCTTGAATTCCTCTGCCTTCTTCTGTTCACTAACCTTAGCCTGTTGTTCAACTGCCTGTGCCTTTTCCTTCTCCACCCTGCCAAAGACACAACCAAAAGTAAGTTATACCACCACATAAAATCCAACCATCAAACTGGATTTCATTTTATCCAGTTTTATTGGTCTTATAAGAACAAATGGCAAGACTGAAGATCACTGAAAAACTGGTCATGGCTTCAGAAGTATTTTGAAATAAACTATTGAACTTCCATGCAACATCCCTTCAGGAAACTATTCATCAAAACTGGAAGTTATAATTACACCTGAGACTGCAAAAACCCTATGTAATACCACTAATTTAAAACAGTTCTTTCCAAGAGACTCAAAAATGTTGTTCCAACTCTAAACATGCAATACTGAAAATATGCATTTTATGACTTGAGCATTCTCAGGCTGAACCTACCTTCACTTTACACATTCATTTTCTTTGTATTATAGAAGTATTTAAACACCTACTGTTTAAAGTCATGACAAAAGTAGCCTAAAGCCTTTCCATGCATTAGAAATAGCCTTTTAGCATACAACAGTGATGAGTTCATAAGCATGGAAAAATTAACATAATATTAGTTCTAACAAATCTGTAAGATCTGCATAAATTAGTTTTGGTACCAGCAAATGGTTAGCTTTACAACTTTAAGCTTGACTACCATTATCAAAAGACACAGTAGAAAAGCAAGACATACCCACATTTACCAATTGTAGCTACCAAGTTTGTGTTCTTTAGTGGGAACATTTATTTAACAAATTAAAACTGCTTTCTTTAAAAGCTCATTTGAGGTTGTTTACCTTTCAGCAAAAGCCCTGATCTCCCATAGTTCCAATTCCTCCTCTGCTACCCAACTTTCAATTATAACAGGGCCCGTTTGCTTGGGTGTTTCTGGCCTTTTTGGCCTTAGTGCACTTGATCGCAGTCCCTTCCTCTGGGGTGTTGGAGTTTCTTTAGAGAACAGTCAAAACACACACATTAAGATCAGTCATAAAACAAAATTATAAACCAAGACTTAGTGTCTCTTTCAGTCTCATTTATAAACAGGAAGGCGCTTCAGATAAATCACGTCAGTTTAAATGCATCATTTGATTCAAATACGTGAATGAATAGTTCACGTCAAGCTGTATTTGCTCCCTTGTTGGTCTGAATTAACAAAAAGATCCAGTTACCTTAATTTCTGTAGGAGCTTATGGGAAGGGGAAAAAAAAGTATAAACAAACATACCTTTCGGAGCCTCTGGTACACCAATGGGACAAATAATTTTTCTTATACAGTACTCTGACCGAATTCCATATGGACCGACATCTCTTCGCTTTATTATTTCTGTTGTTGTAATTTCAGTTTCAGATGTTTCTACAACAAATTAGTCCCAATACGTTAATAACAGAAAACAAATAAAAGCTAAATCTCTAATCAACCCAATATAGTCCAGGTAAAGAAACAGCAACTAGTACAAACTGTTGATTAAAAAAAATAAATAATCAAATGCAACAGCTAACATCAAGCCTTTCTAGAAATGCTTGGAATGTGTAATTCTGAAAATTAACAGCAAGAGCTTTTGCATTAAGAAACCCAGACATTTAAAGAAATAATACCTGTACGTGTAGTTCCTCCCCCAGGTGGAGCTTTTGCTGCCATATCATCCCATTTGAGACACGCCCACAATAATCGCAACATAAGACTCACTCCAGCCAATGATTTTACTGTTTGAAGTCGGTACCTAACAATAGAGTATTAATTGTATTTTAAAAATCAAAATGTATTTAAAATACCTAACCAAACCAATGGGACAAAGGTTTTCCATTCTACCTTTATTGAACAATATAGAAAATAACTGAATAATAAACAGCAAAATTTGCATGTTTGGGCACAAACATGTATATCGCTTGTAAAATTCAATTAATTTCATCACATCCTAAACTTAGCCTTGAAAATATAAAGTATGTACCTCCAAGTGATCCCAAAAGTTGGCCTTGGGGATGGATATGGCCAGATATCCAAGGCAGGCTTTGCATTGTAATTGAAATAGGGAACTTCTCTGATTCCTCCTTTTCTGGCCAGCTTTTTTAAATCATCATTGGGTAAAACAAATATGCTTTTTTTACTGCTTTTGGTAACAAATTTTCTGTAGGATGGTAAGGCAGTTCCAGAACGAGTTTTTTTGGGTCTTGCAAATTTCATTAACTTCACTTTGTCTTTTGTAGAATATTCTTTGCTGACAGTCATGGAAGTCACCAATGTGCCTTCTGGGGTGGTAAGGGAATCAGTTACTGTTGTTGTCACCACTGTTTTACTATGCTCTTGTACAGAAATGACATCGACATTACTGTCTGTAGTTGGAGCGGTGAGCTTAGTTACAGTAGTGGTGGTAGTTACAGTGGATATGGCACAATTTTCTGTAGATGATACCACTGTTGTTTTCTCATCACTAGAAGCTACAGTCTCTGCAACTTTGAACACAGTTTTGGATTCTGTAGACACAGTTGATGTTGTGGTAGTCACTTCAGTAATAACAGTTTTTATTTTACTTTCTCCATTAATATCTTCCATTTTATATGTCTGTACGCCATTCTGATCAGCAAAGTCACTACTCAAGCTAGATTCCTCACATGAGGTTACAGGCGATGGAGCAACTTTCTTCTCCTCAATTACTTCAGTTTCCATAGATTCTGTTTCACTATTCAGGTTATTTTCTTTACAGACACTGTGCGTTGGTGTGCAAGCAGTGCGAACAAAGGCAGGCCTCTCGGGAGAAAGCTGTTTTTCTTCAGTTTTCTGCACATATTTGGGAACTTCATCTGGTGGCTGAAGACTCTCTCCAGATTCAAAAGCAGGTGAACTGTGCAGATGTGACTTAGGGTCCCCATTATTTTTGTCCTTTGTGTCCTCTATCACGATGTCACCATTCATGAATGGTTTTACTGAAGATTCCTTAAAAGTCAATGGTTTTATTTCGTGTTCCGGAATGGATTTATTAATATTATTAACTTTTGGTTCAATATCACCCCCTGCCTTAGCTTCACAGGTATCTTTAACTAAGCAGTCATCGTTTGATAATACTTTAATGTCATTGTCTTTTCCGTTCATTTGAAATGCTGATTTTTCCAAGTCTGCCTCAGTTTCTTTATTACTCTTTTTGTCAGTAACACTGTTTAGATTTGTCTGATCAAGATACTTGTTTATGGTACTTGTCTCCACTTTCAGTTCCTGACCTTTCTTTTGACCATTAGCCTCAGTTAGTTTAGAGCTCAGTAAATCCTCATCAACTTCTACCTCATCCATGTGTTCCAGAGTTTGACTTTCAAAGTTTCTTTCAGAAATTAGCTCTGGTTTAAATGGTTCTAGATCTTTACTAACTGATTTTTGGTGCATTAAAATCTTGTTTTCAGATTTACTTTCAGTCTTTCCTGGGGCAATTTCTTCCTCCATTTCACTTTCTCGAGAGGATGTTGGTTCAATATGGCTTTTTATCATGCAATTGTTTTCTGGATCTTTGCTCTGCTGTTCAGAATTCCTTTCTGAATCTGTTTTTTCAAGGGTGGCCAGAGCATCTTTTCTACAGCTGCTTTCAGTTACCACTGGCTCTAAGTTTTCACGTTCACGCTGAGATACTCTGGTAATAGGTAGTTTTTGTTTCAAAGGTTTTTCGCTTGTTTCTGAAACATCCCATTTGATTCTACCTTCAGCATTTGTTTGTTTCAAGGCATCCACAAAGGAACTCTCAGACTCTCCAAGAACCTCATGTCCTTGACACTTATCAGCAGTCATAGGTTCAGGGTTGTTTTCTTTACTCTCATTCTGAATGGAGCTTTCACCTTCAGAGGACTGAGGTGAGCCTTCATCCAGTAGCTGGCCTTCTCTTTTTGATAGCCTGGTTGTCAAAGGCAAAGAGGGTTCATCTAGCTCACCAGTTTTGGTACAAGAGATGCAGTCCTGTTCCACATCTTCATTTTGGGTCTTATCTGAAATATATGTTTGATCTTGAGAAGACACGTCAAATTGGCTTCCTTCTTTTGTTTTTCTCATTTGCAGCTGATCGATGTTTTTCTGGGGACTTACAGATCGAATGCCTACTGTTTTAGCACTAGCCTCCAGCTTCATCCTTTCTAGACGTTGTTTTTCTTCCAGTGTAAACTGTTTTATTCGCCTCTCAAGTAGTCCATCTAATTTTGATGATTTTACTTTCCTTTTGTAGCAAGTCCTTAAATGAAATCCCTCGCTGACATTGATTATATCCAGCTTACAATGACTATCCTCATCTTTTATGGGGGATTCAATTTTCACATCATCTACATCCATCGGTTCTTCCTTGATGACTTTATCATTTTCACCATCGATTTCTTTTTCCACTGTGAAGAAATAACTCTGAATCAGTAAGCTCTCCTAACAATGAATACCAAACCATATTTTTACATGAAGCACTAAGAAACAAATAGACCTTTTAGCATATTAATAGATTTCAAGAAAAAGGGAACAAAAACTTCAGACACTCCTACAAGGGATCATAAGCAATCATTTAACTGAGACACTTTAAATGTCTTAACAAAACCTGTTACACAGTTATTCGAGTTATTTCTGAGGTCCTATGCTTTTACACATGCAATTGTTGTCATGGATAGCTAGTTTTACAATAACTTAAAGTTATCACCTTTGTCTTTTGCATGATCTAAACTTTCAGAAATTGTATCAACTTCTACTTTTTCCTCACGAGACTTTTCTTCTTTCATTTGTACTTTCTCCACGGTTGCTGAAACATCTTTGTCTTTTGCTTGAAGGTCATGAGAATCCTTTGTTTTGTCTTTCTCTATTTTCACCTTAATTGGACCTTTTCGTTTATCCAAGTTGCATTTTTCATCTTCATTCTTTGCTATTAATAAATTAAATGGTTTCAATTATTCAAATTTTTTTTATATTCTGCTACATTTTAACATCTGTTAGTTTACCTCTCAAATTATTCACACGTCATTACTGAAATTCAGAAATAGAATTAAGTATACAGTGGTAACATCAATATTCAATTAAAAAAAAAATCTAAAAGCCAGAGATAAAAATATTTCATTTACATTATTTTTTCAGGAGTCTATGTTCAGCTTTTCTTAAAAAACAAAACCACTCCCACCTCCCCATTTTTCAGGAAACTAAATACCACCTTCTGAAAACCCAGCCTATTAAGAGCATATTAATTCAGACTCTGAAAACTTACAAATAATTTTTAATAATTTTTGATTTCCACAGTTAAGCCAGAATGGACATCAGTATTCAAATGACTTTGTGCTTAACACTGTAGTGGCTATTACTTGCAATACAGAAAGCAAAATAAATCTGATTTAACAATCATGTAGACAACACTAAAAGCAGCAGCATCTATTTTGTGTTTGATCCAGGTAAAAGCAACAGGGAAAGCATTACATCAGTATGCGAGGAAGGAAATAATTTTGATACGTAATAGAGGGTGGGCTGCCATTTTCTAAATTTTAAAAGGAAACTCCAGATTACATTAAATTTATTATAAATAAGACTCATGCAGTTCAGGATGCATTCTAAAAGTCAACTGTGCAAAATTTTTCTTTTTTAATATAAATCCTTGGAACAAATAAGCAAGAAGGTGTGTTTTGAAATTTTTAGAGAAATAAATTGCTTTCCCCTTATAAAACTCTTGTTTTAAATATACACCAAAATTTTAGATGTTACTTTTTGCTCATGATTATCTACATAATTTTTATCTAACTTTAAATTGTTTCAGTTACGAAGTTGTGTGTAATATTTGTACAGCTTTGTATAGCCTTATTTAAATTAAAGTTAGATAAAAAATGCCTATGACAACTGAACTTTTTATATTGACAAAGATTAGCAGAAAGCCACAAAAGCTTCTCTGGAACACTATTTTTAACAAGTCTACATAAGAAATATCACATGCAAATAATTAACTGAATAAGCAATAAAAAGCAGTGTGTTAGTAATTAAAAAAATGTAAGTAATGCAGACACTTACTTGGTAGCAACTTTCTGTAATTTGCATTAGTATTTCCAGGCAGTTTGGGCATAAACCTGTGGACATGTGTTTTACTAATCCAGCTCCAGCCACCATATCCCGTCACTCTGTATTCTTCTCCTTTTTGCTTCCAAACCTGTTAAATATTTTTAAAATAGTAATTTTAATGGTGCTGTTTGCTGCACTATTAATGTACACATCCATTGAAAAACCTAAGATCATTCGTTTTTTAAAAAACGAACCAAAAATGTTAATTTACAGACTTTTTCAAGTGAGTTGAAGTATATTTGTGACATAATGTACTATCTAAAATTAAAGATATACATGATGATAAATTGATTCTATCATAGTAACATCTAAAAACCACTTTAATTTCAAGTAAGTGAGAATCTATTTACATGAAAGCTGAAAGATTATACCAGTTTTTGAATCAACCTGTATGTTTGTTACAACAAATAAATTTAGAGCTAAGAACCACTCCAACAGAAGTATTTAACATCTACTGTAGGAGCATATAAAGAGGTTTCCATAGTAGTTTCCATCATATAATAAAACCTTCCAAAGTAAAGGTAGCTAGGCTGCTATTTTGGGGAGGGGACTGGGGACGGGAGGGGAGCACTGCACAGGGAGAGACATACAGACAAGATTCCACTAACCATCTTGAACCCTTCCGTTAGGAAAGGCCGCATTTTGCAGACAAACATCTGCCAACTCAGGCAGTGTCACTAAGAGCGTAGTACATGTCAAATTTAGTTCAGACTGAGATTATGGGCTTGAATAGGTGGGCATGGTTGTACTGCAGTGGCAGGTAGTAAAACAATGACATTAAAATTTTAATTTTAAAATGAAAATATAAAAAGAGTAAGAAACTAACAATTCCTGTTTTCTTTTTGTTCTTCACACAGAAGAAAACCTTACCTGATGTTTGACAGGAAATGTGTATTTCACCCATGTAGCTTGCTGCATTGTTTCTTCTTCTTCTTGTTTTCTCTCTTTTTTTTTCACTTTCTCCTTTTCTTCTCTTTCTATTGCTGTCATTCTGCGTAATCTAATGCATATAGATTTAAGTACATTTACATACAGGATCTTGTAAGCAAATGTAAGTCATCAAACAACAGCATATACTACCCCTTCGAATAATTTAAAATATCTGAAGTTTAGAGGAAAGCCCACTATCAGGTTATATGTATTACTTGCAAGAGGAACACTGCTTTTTTTCACTATTCCAGTAAGGCAAACACAGCTGCCTGAAACTGTGTCTAACATCAGACACATTTTGCTTCTGCTTCTATGACACAATGAGACAGACAGACTCCACGGAACTGAGTGTATTGAAATTTGCTCTTCTAGTCTCCCAAAGTTTTATCACTTTGAGACTGTGGCTCAGATAAAGAAAACACACTTGCTTTGCAGGAGCAATGACACTATAGAATCGTGTCATGTATTTTCAGTGTTTCTGGTTGAGAAAAACACTTCAAGTGCTGACTGACTGACTAAATTTAAACATAACTCTTACAGGCTTCGAGGAACTAGTAATTGTAAAACAAAGTAAAGTTCTCATATTCAGAAAGATTTTGATGTTTATTTATTTTACCTAGTGTGCCCCAACGATTCCCGCCAGATTGGCAGCATGACAACTGGTTTAATTGCACATTCCAATATAGCCAGCGCTAGTGCAAATTCTCTAGGTTTGCTGCACATCTGAACAGCCTTAATCCAGTTAGACCTAAATTGGAAAAGAAAAAAAAATCTGAAACATACACATGCACTAATACAGCATGCTATGTTAATAAGATTTAATAGTAGGATAATACCTCCTATATTTTAATACTTTACTCAAATGTGCAATCCTTTTAGCCATCCACCACAAAACACAAACATGTTATCTTATGTTTTAATATACTGAAACACGGTGCTTGGAAATCACTGATTTGAAAAAACAAAACATACCTTGTTAATACTGTTAGCAAAAATACAAGTAAAACAAGAGAATATATACATTTTCATTTATTAATTTACCTGTGGGATGCCCAGTTAGGATGAAGGAACGATGCCGGGATATTGTTTTCTAGCTGAATAATAGTTAGTCTCAAAGTGGATATGGTAAGAACTTTGGACCCATGCACAGACCCATTCCATTTGAACTCTCCAGCAGGAGTCAGACAGAATTTATGCGAGAGATGTCGTCTCTTGTCGTGGTCCTCCCTGTGCTGGTGCTTGTTCAATGCGAATGAATTAGTGGCATACTGATTATGATAAACACGATACTTCCCCTCTTGCCCTAATTTGAAATAATTGTTGATATTTCCTTTCATCACAACTTCCTTCTTTGTGTTCATTCGGGAGACTTCACCCTGAGAGTTGACCACCAGAACCTTGTGAAAGAGAAAGAATGATTTTGAAGATTCACTTAAGTTTCAAATATTTCTATTTAATTATTTAAGATTTAGGCTTCAACTCTACATATTTCTATATACAAAATAATAAAAATACCTTGCATCAGTTTGTAGAAGCAAATAACTGCTTATCGGATATACTAAATATATGTACTTCATCACTGATTGTATATAGATGCAGGATATTCCCAAAGACCAACTTTAACTGAGGTAGTCAAACAGGAACCCATTTTGCTGCTCCAAATTATGCCTATTGAGGGGGACAGCTTTGGGAAAATAGCTTCACTAAACCCAAGTAAGCTTTCTGTGACACCCTTCCTTCATAAATCAAAGAATTCATACGTGTAGCTAAACAAACAAGTATCTTTGACTTTGAAAACATGGCATAGATAACATCACTGGTCTAATTACTCATAACCGAGTTCCCAGTTTGAGAGGTTTGTGAATAAATATGCTAAATGCTAACTTACAGCGAAAACTAATTAACAAAAATAGATACACCAAACAACATACACACAACTAACTGCAACGAACTCTTAACATTCAAACACTTCTTTCCTGGAGAAACTGGGCTACTTAAAAAAACCCAACAAACCCAAACCAAACCACCAAAGAAACAACAAACAACTTGTAGTCATACAAAAAATTTCTACCAACTGGCAGACATTTGAGAGCAATTTCAGTTTCGTCTGCACCAAGCAGTGCTACAGTTTTGCAATGGTTATCTTCAAATGACCATACTCTGCCAGATCTGTTATGAATTGGAAATGTGGCTATTACCTAGCTACTCAAACAATAATCAAACACAAACCACTGTAAAGCTGTAGTTTTGGCACAACAGTTCTGAGAGAGTTGAAGACAAAAGTGGGAGAAAATGCATAGAATTTATTTCTGGCTGTATAACAAACAATTCTCTAACTTTTATGACCAGCATGTTGCAGGAAAGGAGGTGCCATGGGTTACTGTCACAGCGCTCTGCAGATAGCAACTAAGAGCAAAAGCAAAGGAGAGGGAAGAAAAAAGCTTCCTGTTATATTACAATTTCATCATTTACTAAATTATTTTTACTACTTTTTAAAGTACCTCCATAGTCTGCCAAAATCACTTTTTTATTTTAAAAAAATACTATCAGTTATCTATAACAGTTTTCATATTTCTTTGAATTTTGCAAGATATGCACAAACCTCTCTGCCTTCTTTATATAACTTATTTGCTTCATGTGCTGCAGCAGCAACCTGCTGGCTTTTCATCTGGCTCAACTTGCTATCTGGATTTCGTAATCTTGTGAGCATTCGCGTCGACCCTGGCGTGCCTTTTCCGGCGCCTGGAGAATCACTTCTTTCACCATTAGATTTCTCTCCTGCCCAGGAAAAAAGAGTTTTTAAAACAAACTTAATAATTTTAAGTTTTCTATTGCTGTATGTGAGTTATAAAGTAAAAAGAAAAGATGCGTAAAATGAAAGTTAGAGACACTATTATTACCTATGTCCTCTGAAGTCTGGGATCCCCTCTCTGCATTTTCAGCATCGTCAGGTGTCTTAATGGAGTCATTCTGCCCAGAGCCCAGCTCACTGCTGTTGCTGTTTTCAACATCCGAGTGCAGAGATGCAGCAGACACACTGCTACTGTTGCTAGGGATCATTTGACCAGTTTCTTCTACAAAAGAACAACTTCATTTTTAGTTTTTCTTTTGAATTGGATCAATGCAATTTTTTCTAGTTTAAAATTTTTCATTTAAAAACCAGTCAAGTGAATATCTTTTGCTGGACTGGAAAGTCTCTCCAGAATATTGTATCCATGAAAGTGCCTTTTGTTCTGTTTCAAGCATTTTCAACTTTTACAGCTCTGAAAAACTGAAAGTCATACTTAGATGAAATATGAATATATTTTCAACACAATTTTTTCTATAGATGCACACACAGGGAACCCTCTACTGAGACTTTGTTTTGCTTTTAGAATGCAGATTCCATGAAATTTGGTCTTCCTGTAGTTTCTATGATTTTACCTCTTGATTTTTTTTTGTGCTTTAGCTGTTTCTCAAAGCATACACCTTTCAGTTCCCTACAGTTTTCCACCGAGTCTTTGATTGTGTCGTCTTCAGCACATTAATTCTGAGGAATCCCACAGACCTCAGTTCAATTGGCAAAACTCTCTATCTAAACTCCTCCTCTGCAAACTTAAAATATCAACCTCTTCCTTACAATCTGATGGGTCTAGATGGTGGTTCAAGCTCAGTAAGAGAAATACGTTCTCAGTCCTCAGTTGTCCTTGTTACTGTCTGCTTGACATTATTGCCACCTCACTTGTTGCTAAGGCATACTGCCTGAGCATGATCTTTCGACTAAAGCATCAGTGAATTGCAGCTACTGAGAAATAAATCATGCCAGCTTCCGGGTAACAACCCGCCGTCCCTCAAAACAGCTATGTCTCAATTTTGTGCAAAAGACACACAGCTTAGCTGTTTGAAAAATACAAGATTCTTCTGTTTCTAGAATTCTTCCAAAACATCAGGGATTCTGTTGTTATTAAGGTGACAGAACAAATCCTCCTCTTTGTGAAATATTCACTCCAAGCAGAAAGATGATTAGGTAAATATTTTGGGATTCTTAGAAGATCCCTAACCTGAATGCATCTTGATTTCTGGCTTTGCCAAGTAGGTGACCACCACTGTTTGATCCATTTCCCTTTTTACTAAGAGGAAAAATGGAACCATTTGTGGTGCCTGCTGTTGGGAGGAAAGTGGAAGCACTCAAACTAAACTCTTAATAAGACTCATATCCAAAATGCATTTAACAAGGACAGTGACAGACATTCTCATCTAGATTGCATTTTACTCTTATTTCCCCCTCTTTGGGGGTACCTGCCTCACTGATGCTGGTTCAGTATGTCTCCTTCCCTCTGAAATGAGTCTCAAACTTAAATTTCATAATAGGAACACAAGTATCACTATGAATATAGTAAGTTAGACTGGAGGAAGAACCCTCTCCACACACACATTTTCCCACAAAAAAAGCCCACTAATTTAAAAATAAGTTAGAAGCTTTGGAAGGAGAAAAGTACCTGTGAAAGTATAACAAAGAAATTATGGTAAATATGTAAGTGAATCTTTAAAATAAAATGTGAACCCATAAATGTGTCTGGAACAAAAAGTTACAGGATATGTATCTTTTCCATTAAACCTCTACACAGTTATTTTAACTTTAAAATGGAATAAAAAGTACAAGAACAGGCAAAAATATTTGGTCAAATATCTAAAATGTCTGCTTTTGTCCTGTGCGCTAGGACATTGGAATAATCTCCCCAGGGAAGTGTCAGATTCCCCAATGTTGGACACTTTCAAGATGCAGCTGAACAGGGTGCTGGGCCACCTTGTCTAAACTGTGCTTCTGCCAAGAAAGGTTGGACCAGATGGTCTTTGAGGTCCCCTCCAACCTGGTATTCTATGATTCTATGACATTTTCTGTATTAAAAAAGAGTATTATGAGGCTTGCAGATTGCAGATTAATCTTAACTTTCATTTTCTCCTCCTATTAACAAGTTTATTGTAAGGTTTGGATGCATTCACATTTGCAAGTTCAAGCACTGCAATCTGTATCTGAATGGAGAATTATTTCTGTAGGAGAAAAAGCGTTTATTACCGCTTTTTAAAACATAACACACCAGGTATAGCTACAGCACAGATTAAAAATATTTTTAGATATTTATGAATTGAAAATAAAGTTCTGATAGTTTTAACAGGAATCAGATGTTTAGAATAACATTCGGTTATGTAGTAAAGCTTGTAATAGAATATAATTCTAAATGTAATAGAGTATCTTTCTAAAATAGTACACTAATAATTTATGTTACACCTAATCAAGTCCCATTTATTCCTAAATCTAAAGTTTGTTTGTTTGTTTTTTAATTGAATAGTGTATATTACTACTGTTGAGTCACTGACATGGCAGAACAAAACACATTATTATAAAAAACCCTCTGTGCTTATAATTCTGAAATCTGTTTAAAATTCCTAGCACGACAATTTTAATCTTGACATTTCAGTGCAATGGTTTACTCACGTGAATGAAAATACTTTGTTAGTAATTTATATAGTAAATGAGAGGTTAAAATAATAAACAAGCCAGCAGCAAATTAGAATTTGACATAAACTGATAGAATGCTAACAATCATTATGGATCACTATGGAAAAATAAAATATACAGAAAACAGAACATAAAAAGCTTAGCCATAGTCATCTTTGGAAGGCATGGAAACAAACGCTAATGTCACAAAGGACCACAAATTTCAAGCACTAGTTGCAAGAAAATTAACTTTGAAATGTTAATGACAACGTAGCAGTAAAGGATGGCACTGCAAGCAAACAGCATGAGTGATATACGCTGTGAATGGTTTTAGTGGACAAACCAGATAGAAAAACTGAACAGATTCCCAAAATTACAGAGGCATTGGTAACAGTGCCTTCTGTACCTGAGAGTTCCTGAGGGAGCTCTGATGCCACCTTCTTCTCTGCCACGTTGTTGCTATCAAGGGTTTCTGACTGACACCCCATTGCGTTCTTCCCTTCAGAGCAACTAGTCTCTCCTGCAGAAGGATTTGTGTTGCTGTCATCAGTGCTTGATGTCACAGAGTTACTTTTATCCCCAACGACTGTTGCCTCTACAGTAAAACGCACAACAAAACTTTAGGGATATTCTTTAGTATGTCTTAGGATGTTATTTGGCATCACCCATAGAAAGCAACTTCAGCAGCTTGCTTTGTCTGTTTGATAATGCTGAAAAACATCGAGCTTTCTCCTTTCCCTTTTTTTTCTTTTTTTGCTGAGATAGTATCGTCACAGAATCAAAGCACAAACTAATTCTGATGAGGAAAACAATGTTAAAAATTATGTAATATTGCTTACTACAAACATGTTGATCACAACCTGTAAGTGCCACCTGTACCTCAAGCCAACGTATCTGCAAACTAGCTGTATTTAACTTGAAAAGTAGGAAAATTGGTGAAATTTCTTAACAAGAAAAGCAATTATAATTTACAACCACAAAGGAACTGTCAAATATCATCTATTATTTAAAAAATAATTTGGAGAATCACACAAAAAAATTCACATCAACACTTAAAGAAATGTGAGGATCTTAACTGAAGATTCACTTTACTTAAATGAAGTTGTTAAAGCACAGTCAGAGTTTCTCTACCTTCTGTTTTCACTTTTTCCGCCTCTTGCTCAGTGGGTGTTTCCTCAGTTTTATCCTGGTCTCCAGATTCTTCCTTGCCTCTCTCAGCATCTGTCTGGTCATTATCAACATCACTTTTGGCCTTTTCTGCTTCATCATCCGCTGTATTTTTATCTTCCACTAGTTCTCCTTTTCTTGCTCTGATAATGTCCAAAATTTCATCTACAATAGAAGGAATGTTGTCATCAATAAACAACAAACCACCACCTACAGAGCCACTGAGCAGAAATAATGTGACATAAATACTACTTCTTTTCAATGAGACAAAAGATAACATCCAACTTCTTATGACTTTTTCCCCACTTAGAAGAAAGAACTCCAAAGATTTAATTATTGATTTCTCAGAGTTATGCATTTATATAGTGATGACTTAAATCCATTTTTAAACCTGAATATCTAATCTTCATGTCTTTCCTAGAACAAAGTTCAAACCTTCACAGATTCATATTGCTATTTATTGCTCCAAGGTAGATAAATTAAGTTGGTGGGGAACTGCAGAGTTGTGCATTCTTCCACACTTTCCATAATACTGGTGCTGTAACATTTTTGCCACTCCAACTCCCATTGGTTTGTTAAATGTTTATGAGGAGAGAGAGAGAGAGAGATAAAATATATATTAAATAAAAGAGAGTACATCAAGAAACATTTGACAGTTAACACAGCTTCGCTCCAACAGCTGGAATGATCATAATCTGACACACCCTAAGCACATCAAGAGTCTGAATCATTCAGGACATCCTGGGTACACGAAACATAGTCCTACAAGGAGTCAGTGCTACGTAGCCATGCTGGTACACCTGCATGATGCTTCTCCATCAACTTGTGTAAACTTCTTATAATAAAGTAGTATTTGATTCAAAGCACAGCATCTATTCCCATTAAATAAAATTTTGTTACCGTTTGCTGCAGAAAGAAAAGACTTGTTGTTGCCCCTTGCTTTATTAGTAAGGTCTTCTGTCACATCCATGTGCCGATGAATTTCTTCACGCATTTCTTCCAGAGTTTTGCATAGGTCAGCTTCCCAGTAATCTTTATCCAGGCATTCGATTAACTCTGCCAGCTGTATCTTTGTGCTATAGTACCAGATTTTCTTTTCTTTCTCGCTTTCTGAATCTTCCTCTCTAAAAATATTAAAAAAAAAATATTAATTTTAAAATACCTGGACAAATGACAAAAATTAGTATCAGCCTATTTTTTGTAGAGAACTATTAAATGTCAATACCTGAATGTGAATAAACAAATCACGTGAGGACACTCATATGCACCCAGTTTAGTACCCAAATATTCCTCTCTCACTTCTCTCTCTTTTTTTCATCCCCTCAGAAGTTCTCATGACAGCTTCCTCAGGAAAGCTTTTGAAAAGTTTCCTGAAAACTGGTTTGACAATCTGGCAACAAGGTGTATTCTCATTATATTTACTATTACTGTAACCTGTAATTTACTACTAAGTCTCAATTTGCAATGAAAAAGGGTATGGGTCCAGAATCCATAAAGGGTTTCTGACTGCATATTCAGAAAATAGCAAAGTTAGGAAATTCAAAGCATAGAATGTCACAATCATAAACTATTTTATATTACATCTCTACTGCATTCATCTGAGAGAACACCAATAAGGGACAAAAGAATCATAATACAATCCTTTGGAAAGTTAAGGGATTTCCACATTTTTTATTTGAGGTACTCCTGACACCACGAGCCTAGATAAAACTCCTGGAGGACGACAGTATCAAAAGCATCTCACAACAGGGCCACCAGACCCAAGTGAGGTCCATAAATATCTCGGGTAGCAGGCTCTCCCAGAGTGCTGGAAAGCGTAAGAAGGACACTGTAAGCAGCTCTGAAGAAGGCTGCTTGGCTAGTTGAGTCCTGTTCAGCAGCAGCAGCCAGATTCAGGCTGGCTGTGGGCAGGACCACTCATTTCCGCAACACACCCTAGCACTCCCAATACTGTGAACACCGTGAACAGTGAACACCATATGGGGTGACAATGACTTACCAGCCTAGACTTCACATGTGGAAGAGGAGCTAAACTGTTGCACTACCTGTAAAAGCTTTACAAACCTATGACTCGCTAATAATCCTAAACCTAACTGTTGATAGGAATGGAAAGCTGACTGTAGTTTGAAAGATCTACTACCCCTGTAAAGTTTGTTGTGTGTTCTGCTCTGCTGGCTGTCTCCACGTGGCTTATACGCTAAAGACAGTAAAAACTGGCCTCAGATATTCAGAAAGCCAAATAACCAACCGCAAGGCGACTTGATTGTCATTTACTGTTTTCCACATTCTATTTATGAAACAACTGTAATACAACTCAATCAGAGTATTACTAAAATAAGGTGGTTGTGAAGTTAATAATGGCAATATTACTCAAAATTCAACTACTAATTTGTCACAACCATTACTATCAAACAGACTTTTGGTTTTGATGATAAAACCTGGTGTACTGCAAAGAAATACTATCACTTATCTTATAAAGGCCTTTGCTCATGAAAAGCAACTAATTCTACTTCACCCATTTACTCCTCTAGGCTACCAGTAACTTTCCATTAGTTTTAACAGGTTAGCATGGTTGAGTTCGACAAGTTTTCTCAGAAAACAGCTCATTTCAGGAAGACTGCCCACATACTACACATCAAAAAGTAACAGCTGAACATTGACAACCATTTGACTCTATGGAATATTCTATGCCTGTAGACTTCCATGTTAAAGAAAAACTATTTAAACCATGTTTCCCCTAAACCAAGAAAATTATTTACTAACAGTAGTAGGGATGGCAGTACCTTTTTTATTGTTTATGAACAAAAGCTACAGAAAAGGAAGATAAAGGCAAACACCCAAAAACTAAGGTGGAAGAGGAGATGAGAATGCAAGAATACAGCTTTATACAGCAAGACAAAAGAAAAGGATGAAACTCAAAAGGACAAAGAAAGTATGGCTTCTGAATTTTCCCTGGCAAATGTTCAGTGAAAGTGGTGAGAGTGAGACACTGGCAAAGCAGCAATTGTAAGGCTGCTCTGCTCCTTACAGACATGACTGCAGAATATAATGCTGTTGCTAAGTTTACACTTTAATTATTTCTTAACTCAACAGAAAGGGAACTTTAACCTTTCAATTTGAACCCCTAGCTCATTACATGATTACTTGCTAGATAGATACGCCATTTATACATCTTATATGACCTCGATATGCAACAATACGAACAAACGCTTTATATAGTCCCATCATTCCACGAAGCAAGGCTGTGCTAGTGCCCATTTGCCAGACACGCAGCTCAGGCACGGAGGCTTGTACACCTTGATTAAATTTTGATGGTGATCATCCAAGTGTTTTCTTCTTTTCCCACTTTTGCCTCCCCACTTAGCAAATCTGAAACTACTACAGCTATGCTAATACATAGGATGTGTATGTCACCTGAAAATCCCAAAAAGCATCTGTCTTTTCCTTTCCCATCAGTTCTTTGTATTCCAGTGTCACAAAGTTCCATTGGACTGAAAAGCAATTAGCCCGTACCTTCAATTTCCCTCTATAACTCAAGAAAAAGCCTCTACTAGCAGTAAAGGTATGCTGTACTACAGGCCAATAAAACCCAGAAACTGTGCAGAATGAAGACACTGACCACAGAGTATTCTGCAGAAGGCACCTAGATTACACATCTGTCTGTGTGTGATCGGAGTCCTACCCATTAAAGAACTGTTCAGATAATATTCTAGAAATGGGCAATATGGTTATCCAAGAGTATTTTATTTCCCCTTCATTTATACAGGGTTTGGAGCATAGAATTTCCCTTGAATTAAAGGCTATCACAACTTTAGTAACAGAAGTTCAGGAATTAGTTTTCTCTTGACAAAAGCACAGACAGAAAATGAAATGGCACAAGCTTGCTGTTATGGATGCTTACACAAACCTCATCTTTGGTCAGACTTCTGTTCGAGATTCAGGTGTATGCCAGTGGAAGCCTTGGAGTGCTCATTACCAACTCACTAACAGTCACAGAACTACTGCAGAAAGCATTCTTTGTGATCCATTTTGGCAAAGTTAGTTAAGCTTTAAATTAACAATTAAAAGATTTAAGCTAACTTTCCCTGAATGCCTTCTTGCATTGGCTAAAGGGACACTACTTTTACTCTTCAAAGAAATCAGAGACGCTATCATAAAAAGAAGATGGAAAGATACAAATCTATACAAGGACAGATTGCTGATGTTTTTCTCTGACAAGCCAGGCAGATTTGCCAGCTTAGTGCTGGACAGGTCTAGTTAGTCTCCAGGGAACTCAGCTGAGTCACATACATTACGTGAGGCCAGCAAGGGAGAAAGGAATCACACGAATATTTCCTACCTCTTTCAGCCTCCTTCACTACCAGGATCTATTCACTGGCAGGCTTCAGAGGCAAGTTTCAAGACTGACAAAAATGACAACACAGAAGATGCTAGAAACTTCCAAGTAAAGTAACAACAAAGCAGATACACCCCTGCCTGAACTCCATGCTGATACAATTAGAAATGGAAGAATTCAGTAAATTGTTTAAAGTAATCTTATTCAAATGAAGATCCAAAGCCTTTTTAATTAATTGGAGAAAATAGAGGAGGACCCACTAAGAACAAACAGCATAACAAATCTTGCAGGGAAAAAAGCTGAAGCTGTTTTTGACAATAGAGGAAAATACATACAACTCAGAAATAACAATTTGCATCTTATTTTTGCTATCAAAATGAAAGCCAAACAATGTTTCACTATCTTCTTTCATAGACATTTGACAAATCCAATGCATCTCAATATTTCTAGAAAGATAACTTGTTAAAACACTGCAGCAGTTTACTGCAAGTCAAAATCCTAAATTTCCTGATTTGTTAACTTGCAGAAATAAACTTCACAAGCAAAACAAATGCAACTGACCCAGAGACAACGTGCTAAATTTGTTAACAGCTTGAAATGAACCCTCAGGAATTCATTTTCTCTTGCCCCCCCCTTTTTTTTTTTAAATCTTGTTGATATGTGCTCATGGGGATATGCAAGAAGAAACCTCCTCGGTGTCCACTTTTCCATCTTTGTAGAACAGAAGAGGTGGAAAAGAGAAACAAAACTACAATGAATGATGGGCTTAAACAAGGCTTATCACCCATAGCAAGTGACAAGCATGGAGATTAAAGTATCAGTGAACAACAATAAGTTGTCTACAAAATCCTTTAAAAGATGGGAAAACGGGATATGATGGATTTATTAGGGGAGAGGGGAGAAGAAGTAAAAAGCCCTAAAACCCCCTTTGAAAAACAAAAAATTTGCAAGAATTTAGGATTTCAGTTCTCTAATCCCCCGGGCAAGATTTCAAACCAGTGTTTGTGCAGATTATTTTTAGATCTATTAGTTTCCTCTAATGTATTTGATCACATGGCATTGGTGAATACACTATTCATTTTAATAAAGTGGAAAGGATAATATAATTTCATTAATCTCAGGTTTTAGCATTTGGCAGTTATCCTTTAAATTATCCACGATATCAGGTGTGGTTTGATCTTGTTCAGTGTATATATATGCGAAATGGTTCGTTTTGCAGTATAGCATGCTTACTGAATCTAAAGAACATTACAAATGGAAAGTACAGAGTTTAATATCTATGTGAATTATTCAAGTTGTATTTCCCTGGAATTTAGTTAGGTAGTAATTATTTTTGTCCCCTTATAAAGTAGCTTTAGCATAAAGTTTTAAGGCATTTATGCAAACATGTAATTATATCAAAGTTCTATGAAAAGTCTAGTGGAATTGGTTGATTCTGTACATCCCACACCGCAGTGGTGAAGAGTCCTGCTGCTGCAGATCTACCAGAACAACTGTCTATCTGGTTTTACTTCTGATTCCATCAGAAAGATTTGAAAAATTTTTAATCCAAAACACACAGTTCAGAAAGAACTTGTTCTGGAAGCGTGCACAGGTCCATCTACACTAGCAGATGGCACAATACCTAACGGCAACAGGAAGGGTAGGAACTAGCAAGGAAAGAATCTTTCAACCTAGATCATCCGCATGAGAATATGAAAGTCAGGAAGCAATTAATGGATGAACTGCATTTCTTCTTGTCTTTGTAAACATAAAAGTGCTTTTCTATTTATGCTTTGAAATATTTTAATCCCTAACAAAAAAAATCAGTAAAATGGAAAATCCAATAAAGTTTTCTTTTTGCTGTACTGTTTACAGTTCTCATCTATTTTGATTTTAAACGGAATACCGATGTATTTTCACTTTAAATAAATCCCAATTAGGATACAAAACTTACATTGATAAAACTTGATTTATGATTCCTGAAACAGATAATTTGCCCACTGAACACCTAACAGGAATGCAAATAATTTAAAACTGCCACTACATTTAGCCTTTGAAGATGTCTTTTCTAGTGCAGCAAAAATTACTACCAATGTACTAGACAAAAAGAACTGTGACGTGTCGATTTCAAAGGATCAAGAAACATGATTTATTTTAGTTGAAAATACATTGAAGTACTGCCTATATCAAAACCTTCTGAACATCAAATATTCCACTTCATTGGGAAAAAACACATTGTTTTATAAATCAAGTCTAGCAAAAAATAATTACCAATCTGCCTACATATTAGGGGGAAAAAAAGCCTGCCTATTTAACTTAAAATTACCTCCTGAGTGAGTGAATCTCTGGATTTTTTTTTTAATGTTAATTCCCATGCCTCTAATGGCAAGCAGAATATAATCGTTCTGCCAGTACAGTACAGCAGTGAGACAAACCCATCTTTGGAACAACCTTTTCCCCAAGAGTTTGAAAGGAACAATGCAAAAACCATGCACAGAGGACACAATAAGTTATTAAGGCACAGGTAACAAGCAAAAAGAGTATCAGTTACATGTCCTTCACAACCAGGCTTATTGTGGAAATCAAACTTTCAACTCATTTTCTGGAAACAGAAGGTAGAAATTATGTATGAGGCAATGGAAGAATTAGGATATCAACAGCTTCAGGCTGACAATCACATCATGCTGAACCATCTGAATGATAAGCCACATACCATAGAGCATGTGACTGAGTATAAACATAGAGGATTAAAAAAATAAAAAAATGATAAGGGTATAAAAGATTCCCTGAATCTTTTAAAACATTGCTTGACATTACTGTGGCATTTATAACCTGGAGAAATAAAAAATAATCCAACATGGGCTCTTTTTCTCTTTTTTTTTTTTTCTTCACAAGTGTGAAGGAACAACAGTAATTAATAAGTAAAGCATCAGCTAACAATACATTAGAGAAAGGGCACTGTATTGTGAAGGACTAAAACAAGTCCTTAGAAGTGTCTTGTTTGCAAGAGGTAACACCATCAACAGGCCTCACGATCCCTTTTAAAGATGGTGGCTAATATCTTAACATTCACTGTAATCTGTTTTGTATGAATTTCTGTTAAGGTGTCCAGCTGTGGATTATTTTCTCCATAATACTGAATGCAAAATTGTATTTCAAGAAATCTAGTAAAATTTCTTTATTTTTCCTAAATTAACAATACCATTGATTTCACTGAAATACAATTTCTCCTCCATTATGAGAACAACTATGTAGGAACAGTCTTTTATATGAAAAAAAATTCTTAGCTATTTTCCTGTGAAAAATGTAGAAGTATTTTTATAATTTCAGATTCAATGTTTGAGGTAAAAAAACAGGGGCACAATGCCCTCACTAACAACAGTTTGATTATTATTAATGTTTTGAGACACATTAGTATCTCAAGACCAACCAGTAACAGGAAATTGTGTCAAAGTAGATCGCTTGAAGACAGCCATTTGCTGCTGTTTTGACTTTGGTTACACTTATAGAAGTGTTCACATACATTTCCTGCATTTCTAGTTAATAGATACGGTGAATACCTTCAAGTGCCTCAAAGTCTTAGCTTCAAAGACAGACCATCAAACAGTATCTAACTGCCAAATATTATCTAAGCAGATGATAGCACAACAAAACTAGTGTCCTATACACCATGTGATGACAAAGAGAGTTAACCTACTTTTCAGTAACTTTTACAAAGAACTGGAGAGTTCTTATTAAAATTCCCTATCTTTTCCTGACATTCATGGGTTTATATGTAAATTAAAATTAAGCTGGAGGTCCTTGTTTTTCTTCCCCTTTTTATATATAGATTATGAGAATATTTATTTTGGAGAAAATGGATGGATTAATTGCACAGTCTTTAGAAATCTACTTACAAAACAGCAAGCAATGGCCTTATCTAAAGAACAATTTTAAGATGGCAACAGCGACTTACAGGTTATATTAAAAATACACTCAATACAATATTATTGTTTGGAAAATACTAAATGATTACTTACATAATGATTCTTCTGTTCAGGAACCAGTATTTTCGTCTATGCCTGTCATATCCAATAGGTTCATGTCGAATGTATGGTTTATTTTTTTGGATTTCAGCAACACAGTCAGTTACTCCAGGCACCTTATGTGCTACGCAGACTTCACACTGCCATTCATCTTCTGGTACCTCTTCAAGAGGTGGTTTCACGCACTCCAAATGGTATACAGCTGAACAAGTTTCACAGCAAAGCAAATCCCCAAGTTTGTGACAAACCCTACAATGATCATCATACTGAATAACACCTTCTGACATTAACTCTTCACGTGCAATGTTTGTTGTAAGAAACTGATCCACTAAGAACTGCAGAACTTTGATTTTATTCTCTACTGGTCCATAAGGATAGTCCTCTGTCTCTTGGTAAGGAAGAACATGATGGTATTCCTTGTCACTCTCACAATATACCCGCAGAACCTCTGGCCACGTCATTCCATCTATGAAATACAAAGTGGAATTAACGCTATCTTTGAGGTCAGCAGGTCCAAAGGTAGTATTTGAAGTGTCTTCTTCACGTAAAACTGCTTTTAAAAGCACTATATGCATCTCTGCCATAAGTGTGCACTGCTCTTGACTTACCAGAGCAGCACAGAAGTCCTCAAAACGAAAAGGAGAGAGGCGTAAAACAGTGCCAAAGTTCCTTAGTACCTCATAGATGGCAATAACATTCATTATATGCTCACTAGGCACCATTAAGTCCTCCGAGGATTTAGGAAACTCCAAGGGTGGGATATCTTTTTCTTCCAATATTGGAGAACGAGGACGATGCACTCTCTGTCTTCTCCTACCTGGAATAAAAAACAACAGTAAGAATTTTGCCATTCATGGGTCAGTGTGTTTAAACATCTATAATCAATGGCTGTGTCAAACCTTCTAAACTGTTGCAAATTTAGGAGTCACATTTTCAGTTACATAAATGCGATAATTCAGCTAATAATCTTATACTTGAATTAACAGTATGAAAATAAAATACACAAGATATCTGAAGTTTTGCTTTAGACAGTTAGAGCAGTTGCATTTCCCACATAATATCTATCGAATCTTTAAAATGACATCTAGAATTTTAATTGTTTAAATTAGTTAAAAAGAAAGACATTTCCCTCAGCCAAAATATTAATTTAGAATTTTTTCTCATTTTTATTCGGCCGACTAGTTTATTGTTTCTTCTTGGAATTTTAACTTTAAACTCGAAGAATCAAGCTTCTAACAACAGATATTTTGTATTAAAACATTACAAGCTGTTCCCCTATCCAGTAATAGTATACAGGAAAGATAATTTCAAGCGGATGTTTTAGCACATCAATTTCAACCAAATTAAAATATAAGAGAACCTAAATCACTTTGTGGACTGCTTTCTAACTAGAATATTTCTCCCGGATATCTACAAGCCAGAAACAAAAGTTAAATGTGATGTTTTATGGAAATGCTTCAGGAACTCCCAATTTAAAAAAAAAATTAAAAAAAAAAAACAAAACCCAAACTACCCCCATGCTTCAATAAAACAAGAGAGATAACCACAGAAGAAGGAGGAAGAATTATGGAAGGACAAAACCTAACACAAAAAGATAATCTAAAGAGCTGTTTCACTATCTTAAAGACACTGAGTATAATTAATTCAGTCTCAAATGCTAATTCAGATGAGATGCTACACTTTCTTCCATTAGTTCCACTATCCTTGACGCCAAGCAGAAGGAAAATCAAAAGAGGAAAGTTTCTGTACATGGCACTACTAGACAGATGAAATATTTCAATCTTCCATCAAAATAACAAAAAAGTATCCAGCTCCATGCAACTATTCTGCAGCTACAAGTTAAAGTATTAGGATGCACTCATTAAAACTACTTCCTTTAAAAAAAAAAAACCACAAAACCCCGACCAAACAAAAAACCCCCAAAAACTTAAAAACAAACCAAACTTATTCAAGTTTAGACAATCTCATAAACTAATCATAAAGCCATCATCTTGATTTAAAACTATGAACTGAGATGAACGTTTTTAGGTTCTCTGGTAAGCATACCAAGATTCTGGTCAACAACTACATTTCATAATTATCAATTTTACACAGAGAAATGGTTGGCAGCATGCCATTTTATTCACAGACAAAAATCCAAAGGAAAAAATGAAATTGTCCATAACAGCAATTTCATATGCACACTTTATTAAAGTGACATACATTACACATCGTGTGATCTGAGACTGAAGAGCGACACAACCAGTATTCTGAAATTTTAAGCTTCATATTAATTTCTCAATCAAATTCTGTGAATAACAGACACCTTCCCAAAATGGTTCAAAAACTAACAGATGAAGTAAGTTCCAGTCATTTTGGATGTTACTATTAAGAGGAAATGGTTCTCTGTGGCATTTGTTCAACCCACCCTACTTTCTCCAATACTTCCATAAATAAAGGAAATAAGTCTAATGGGAAGTGGGGAAAAAAAAAAGACCTGCTAAGACAGGCAGATACCCAAAGACAGATCCTGCTGATTCTGAAAACACCATCATTAAAAGGTTAATGCATTGAAAAGGAAAAAAAAGTTACCAAAAAGAAAAGCTACCTTTAAGAAACATGTTGATGCATAATAGACAGTTTGCCAAACAATTCCAGAAAAAAAATAAATCAACCATTGAGCTAGTATGGCAAGATGACACCAGATACATCTCTCCCTCCCAAACTTTAAAGAATGAAATCTTATGCAACAAATTAGACACTCTGAAACAATATAGAAGATGAACTGCCAGATGTTTCCATTACAGAAGTAATGGGTCAACATCATCTGCGTATAAAAATAAATTTCCAAGTTTAGTTAAGTTTGAGTTCTGACTGTGGAAAATGAAAGAATGCTTCTATGACTGTCTTCCAATATGCTTCTGCACAAATCAGTGGAAAATGTTTAATCATGGCAAACACACAAAAACACAGGAGTTTCACAGCCAGGCACAAAGCAAGCGTTCTTACAGCAAGAAATATCTAGATTAAACCCAACTTTTTTATCATTGTGATCCGAAATCATATATGCACAAACTAGAGTTGGTTTAATTAAAAGACCGCAAAGGAAAGTACACACACACGTGCACTCTCACAGGTTAAATTACTTTAGGGTCCTGAATCTTCCTTCAATATTGCAGGATGGTGTAGGACCAGTCCTGTAGGTGGTCATGCAAGAGAACAACAATGCAGAACAGATATTCTAAAATCACTAATGGTCTTCACAGAGTCCAAATATCACTGAAAGCTGGCAGAGCTACGCACTAGGATTCTTTTCAGTGTCTGCAATTGTAGCATAAAAACATGTCTGTCACACAGTAAAGTCATAAAAGAAAGAGCCCTTCAAGAAAGCAAGCAGCAAGAATGATAACCCTGGTTTACCTAAATTAATCAGAAGTGACAAATCCCTCCCAATAGTTTCAGGCAAAAATAAACTAGAATGAAGGAACACTGCTGAAAGAAGCAAAGACTCCTTATTTCCTCGTGTTTGTTGAGATTTTTCTGCTCCGAGAAGAAAATTACAATTGTCCTATGCATTGTTTTTATCCTTCACTGAAAAGAACCTGACTCCCCATATACCATTTTTGTTGACCTCTCACGAGAGAAACACTGGTATGTTTGTTACATCAAATTAAGAGGAGAAGCAGAAAAAGAACCTTAAAACAAGGCATTCCTAATATTTTCTGAAAAAGTTAAAAAAGTTCTCCAACACTTCCTCTTACAAAGGAAGCATATTGGTACAATTAGAGGTCTAGAATAAATGTGTTATCAGGACACAAAGTATGTCACAATACCATAATAAAGAATTGTACTTTGGTGCACGTGGTTGCATTATTCACACCACTCTACATCATCTATTTGAATCAATTTACATATTTTCATGTTTGTTTTGGTATAAAGCACAGAAATTTCAAAAGTAATTGTAAACTCAATAGTTTAGACAATAAAAAAAACCATATTGCATTATAAAATGCACACTTCATTTGTCCACTAGTTGGTGTTCTGCCTCACAGTAGGCAGCACAGTTACTGTATCGTACCACTCAACACTCCCAATCCATACTGTAAACCACACACCAAGAGCTCAAATCATTTCTCTTTTTGGACACCAAACTGTCCCCAAAACAGTTCTGCGCTGAACATAATCTGGTTTCAGAGCTAAAAAAAGGAAAGTATTCAAAGATGCAAAATATTTTAGAAAGAAACGGTACCCAGACATACTTTTCTTGAATGGCTTGGTGGCACAGTATTTCAAATTTTTCTGTGTTGTTTTCCTTTTCAATTACACTTTGTTATCAATATTTGCTGTACCTGGGTTGAACAGAACTTGAAGTCGAGAAGAGAATCACAAAGTGTGATTTGTCAAAATTCCCAAGGAATTTGTGTTTAACTGTATTGCTGTTCAATGTATCATCTGCAATCTCAAGAAACACTCCAGACACCTTTAAAAACCAAAAACCCCCAAACACAAAACACAAGCATTCTAATCTCCAGTGAAAAAGATGGACATTCTCTGCCAAGGCGCTCATAAATCTTGCGGCATTCTAAGTGGCTGTTGAACATAAATTAAAAGTGTAGGCCAATGGAATATGATATAATGATATCAAAGTGCTAGTCTCTGCTTTGAGCTGAAATTTTTGTATTCTACTGGTTGGGTGGATGCCCCCCTCCCTTGCCACGAGCTCAGACAGCTGAAGAAAGGCAGTTTGGAACTCCAAATAAGGACTGTAGGCTTGTTTGCAATTCTGATAATAACAATTTCTTCATTGCTAATTATCTGCAGTGTGCTGACAATCCATACAGCTCACACTACTTATAGAAGCAGCTTCAACTTCTGTGAAAGTTGTTGAAGATCACAGTTCTTGTCTACTCAACTGTTCTTCATATAAACAAAAAAACCCCTCTCAAATTTAGAAAAAAGTTTTCCTACAATAAACATATCCAACTTTTCAAGCTCTTCACTTTCAAGGAAAATCTTCTCTTTTCCACAAGGCAAATTGTCCAATGCTCGAATTTGACATTCACTGGCAGGCAAAAAAAAAAAAAAAAAAAGCCACCCCAACAAAAAAAAAAAATCTTTGGTCTCTTCAAACATTTGTATGTTCAGTTTATTTTACTTTTAATTACCTTTTAATTACCTTAGAGATTCTAGGATTTGACAAAAACTTTTTTTTTTACTTGTCATTTGTCACAGATTTTGCCTTCCACTGGAAATTTTGAGTACTATCTGTGACAGAAAGTGTTAATTGAAGTTTAATTAAATTGATTAAAAAAAAATCAATTTAATGATCTCAATTTAAATATTTGAGAAGTGCAAGCTTGTGTAGACTATACAATTGATGATTACACAATAACAAACATTTATTTTGATTTGAGACACTACATGTGTACTATATCCATATATGGTATTTTAAATACCTATGAAAGTGAAACAGTATAACAAATTCAGTGCAATGACCACACTGAGCAGGCAACAGAATTACACTGTTGCTCTCTTTTCTTAACTTTGTATTACTACATCACTTGCTGCCATTAATATTTTTCAATTTATCTTGGTATAGTTTAAATAACTTTGCATAAATATTTTTTATAATTTGCCCTGAATAATTTCCTATTTGTGGAAATCTCATAGCAGTAGGGGTTTAAGTAGAAAATGTAAGCTGTACTAGTTGGTCTAAAACAAAAAACATCATGAGGATCCCAGAGCAGATGTACTAGCAGAAGTTACTTCTCTCTTAAGCACCACCACCTGACTGATTAGACTTCAAACTGAATCTACGTGTATCTAGTCTCAATTAAA